GGTCCTCATGGACGTTGGAGCCATCCCACGAGCTCGACGGTGCCATGGGAGCAAGACGATGTGGCGGCGCGGCGGCGCTGATACGGGAGGCTGCGGCGGCAACGAGAGGAAGAAAGGAGGACGAGAAGGGGCGGAGCGAGAGAGAGCGTGCGAACCTCTATCTCTCCCCCTCCTCCCCCTACTTATAAGCTCGCATGGCGGAGCCGAGGAGGCGCGGCGTGGGGAAACGTGGGGATCGATCGTGCCCACTCCCCCACGTCCCGCATTTATTGCACCCTAACGGCGAAATAAAATCGCCACGGGAAGGCGAGCGGTCCACCTGGGCCGCAGAAGATCAGCGTTCGGGCCGAGGCCTAGGAGTGGCAGGCGCGGGCCTGCGGCGGCATCCCGTCGCGCGCGTGCGCTGGCAGGGTCTCGCTGCCACATGGCCCGCGGGAGGGCCCGCGGTCAGCACGCGGGTCGACCACTTTCCCGCCTGCAAGACGCAGGGCTCCCCGAAATTGGCATACACCAGCAAAGCCGGCTCTTCAGGGTAGGAAGCTGACCAAGCTTCTCGTCCCTTTGTCCGCCTCGAAGCTCGATCAGCTTCGAGGACTACTGTCGGAGTAAATAGCCATGGGTAGCCTAGCCGGCTTCCCCTGGCCCTTCTTAAAAAATTACGAGCCCGTCCGGCTCTCAAGAATCCAAGACATGGGGCCGCCCTCCCCTTGCTGGCTGTCACACAGGCCGGCTTTCGGAAGGCGGCCCGACTTTAGCCCTCATGAAGAAAGCCATGGGAGGGCCGACTTCGAGAAGCCGGCCGCGACGAGGCCGACTCTAAGAAGCCGGCTCCCATAAAGCGGTCGAGACCGTACCCTCAAAGTTTGCATCCACCTAGCGGCGATGAGACGGGGCGTGGCTACAGTAAAGCCTGCCACCCCCAAATCTCGGAGCACGATCGGCACAGTGCGCCATATGGGTGACCATGACCCGCCCGGCGCAACACTGTTGCCATGCCGACCCTGACGCCATCCACGACGGACTACCGGCATGGCCCACGGGCGGTGGGTCCCTTCGGGCAGAGAGACACCCGAAGGCGGCCACGCCTCCCCCAGTCGGCCCAAGACAGAGCCGGCTCCCCGCAGCCGGCTTGCCGCCTCCCTAGAAGGAGACGCCCCATTAAGGAGACAAGACGCGGTGAGGCTACAGCGATCGCCCGCCGGGCGGCGGCACTGCAGCCACGCCTACCTCGACGAAGCCCACGTCGCCAAGATAGAGCAACAGTAACCAGCCGCCGACCAAGTCCTGGACAGTGGGGCCTGCCTGTCGACCGAGGAGCCGGCAGCCGGCGGGACCCACCAGTCGGCGGGCCCGAGCGGCCGGCGCAGAAGCCGGCGAGCGCAGTCACAGACGGCTGGGCCCCGCGCCCAGTCGGATTACCATTGTACCCCCGGGGGGTAGGCCTATATAAACCCCCCGGGGCACCCATGCAAAGGGTTGGACCCCCAGCTAGTTTTAGACACCACACAAGGAGAAGAAGCAAGCTAGTCGTGCCCTTCTTCCTCCTCCCACCGAACAGCTCAAGGAGCATTGTGTAGCTACTTGTCCATCTAGTGATCATGCGGAGACCCCGCAAAGCAGCAGTAGGGGTGTTATCTCCACGGAGAGCCCCGAAGCTGGGTAAGATTCGCCGGCGTGCATGTCTTCGCCTCATTCCATTTCCAGGCACCGGCGACGTCTTACTGGCTCCTACAGTGATAAGCCACCCGTTGGCATATGTCGCACCTACCACCCGACACTTTCCCAAGGTTTACCTAGACCGCCAGGCTATGGCACATCACCACTTTATTGATAGCGAGAACACCACTATGGATGTTCCTTATAACTTGGTCTTTAGTGAGATTACCCGTGATGTTATTCCGTTGCCTGCACCTGCTTTGTTTGATCCTATTGCCAGGGCGGATACATGATCTTGCCAGAGGACATTGTCGCCTACCGGAATAACCTTGTTGCGGTAGAGGAGGAGCCTCAGGAGTGGGCCCTCAGGTGCCCGCTCCTCACCACTTTAACGTGGGACATGATGGCTTCTTCAAATGGCTTGGGGGAGTGTGTATTTCCACCAACATTACATTCATGTTCACATATTTTCATTTTAGTTGTCGGTGTCCACACTTTTTCACTGTACTATCCATGTTAGATTTATTTTCTCGCTTTCTTCTTGTGTGTTTGAAAAACTTTGAGAAAATCCAAAATTATTTCCTACTTCTTTTCGGTTTTTCTTTCTAGTCTAGTTAGTTGTAGTATTAAAAATAAAACCCCAAAAGATTTCCTCTTTCTTCTTTTGCTTGTTGGGAGCTTTCCCGTGTAAATAGTTTTTCTCGCTTTTGTTTTTCTTTCTTTAATTTGTTTCTTCTAGAAAAAACAAAAGCTCTAAAAATATTTCTAGTGTGTTTCTCTGAATTTCTTTTCCATTTGTTGAGTCATACCGAGGAAGAAGACCACGATGAAAATGTTGAGTGGCTCTCTTATGCATTATTGTTGATCTAACAAATAGCCCATAATACTTTGTCTTCTCCTTTTGAATAAAATGTTTGCAGATTCCAGCTTAATCCACGACACTCTTACACTATTATCATTTTTTTATCATTCGGTCGTGCAACTATTTTGATAAAAATAACACATGGCAACAACCATCAATCTTCCAAACGGCGCTATGTTAGTCTGGTTGTTTTCTCCCGTTACACCCTTAGCCAAACGTGTGGAAATGTAAGGGGTCGACATAGGAGCCGGGCAACCCAGCTTCGGCATCCCTGTTATTAAATCACACTATGTCTGGCCAGACGATGATGGATACCGTAACATCGAGAGGGCCCTAAGACTATCTCTCCATCGCTAGAGGATAAAATCTCAATCTTGAGGTATCGAGTTCCTTATCCTACTTTTCCATGAACCCATAAGCCACCGTAATAGCCACCCAGTTATGAATGACGTAGAACTAACCCCAAAGTTCATGAAGCAAGCATGAAGGAACTTGGTATCCTGGTGGTCTAAGGAATTATGCAAGCGTTAACTTTCTCTGTGTTATTTACCATTAACTTGTGACAAATGGATCTCATAGCATAACATCAATTTGGGTCGATTCAACACAAGTGTTCTTCTAATATTCTGTCCTCAAAGTTGCCGACATAGACATGCCCATGATCAAGAAAACGTGATCATCATGCAATACTTGAGCTAGTCTTATAGACACGACTAAGAATACATTTTATCATTTATTTTCCACACATGCATATGGGTTTTCCTCTAAGACTTTATGGATATACGGACTCAAGGACCATTGCAGTTATAGCACAATATATAAGCATAATTACAAACTTGAAGATAAATAATAACTGTTATTATTGTCTCTAGGGCATATCTCCTACAATATTGTCATCACACCAAAATACTATTCGAGGAAAGGAGGGAACCACAAAATTTGGAGTCACGTCCCCATTGGGGGCAAAATGCAACTTTGGCGGAGGAGCGGTGCAACTTTCTCTAGAAAATCAAAGGGGAAGGGGCGTTGTGGTTGTGTGGCAAGGAAGCGGTACGGGGTTAGAGGGTAGGGGTGCGAGCATATCTATGTTTGTTGTCGGGAAAGCAACATTTTTCCCTAGCATCACTGCCGAGACTCCATTAACAAGTGTGTGTGAAGAGAAGTCAGATTGGGTGAGGAGGAGGGATGTGGGGGTCATTGTGTTCTTAAGGCTAATGGAGTGAGAGGAGTAAGACGCCCGTTGTGTAAGGACGAGGCAATGCGCTTGCTTTTTTTCTTCCTTTTTTTGCCTGAAGACATGTGGGGAGGTGAAGACTAGACGAATGTGCTCATGCCAGACATAGGAGGCACGAGGGAATCGGGCTTTCTTTTCGAGTATCAGCTGGTATATATTTATTTTCCCTTTTAAGCTTCCTTTAGTTTAGAGGAATTTCATAGGAATTCTAGAGGATAGGATTCTTATAGGATTTTTTCCTTTAGAGCCCTTTGGTTCATAGGAATGGATTCCTATTCCTACATAGGATTGGTTCCTATCCTCCACATTTCATAGGAAAATAAAAAAGAGCCTAGACTCAATGGAAAAATTTCTTTGGTGTCAATCAAATAACATCTTGTTTCCTATTCCTACTTATAGGATTTGAGATACATGTCATCTCATTTCCTACAAAATTCCTATTCCTATGATAATCCTATCCTATGAACCAAAAGAGGCGTGTTGGCCGTGAAGCGCTAGCCAACAAACCTTCGTTAGTTAGGCGTGTCTTTATTTTATAGATAGATATAATAATCACATCTAATTAAATGCGCCGGTATCGAGAAAACCTTGCGTGTAGGGGCAGCTTGGGAGCCAAGGATCGTCCCAACCGCGTGGACGCCCTAGAACGGCATCCACCCGTCCATCCACCGCCACCAACCGCCCAGATCGACGCGCTCTCTCTGGAGTCTGGAAGCAAGGAAGACCAGCGCAACCCCGTCTCACCACGCGGCCGCCGCCTCAGCCTCAGCGGAGCCGTGCCTTATATTCCGTCCCCTCACACTTCGTTCCCTTCACAAACGAAACAGACCCCGTCTCCTCCTCCTCCTCCCCCTCCTCTCTCGCCGCCGGGAGCCCAGATCTCCTTCCCCGCCGCGCCGCGACGACGAGTTCCGCCCCCTCGTGAATGGTGGGAACCCACACGATCTCCGCCTCCCCCTCCTCGCCGCTGCAGACGGAGAGGGACTCCTCCGCCTCCTTCCGCTGCTTCGGCGCTTGCATGCAGGGCTGGTACCACCGCTGCATCGGCCTCGACCCCTGAGCGGCCCTCCCTCCGTCAGCGTCCCGGCGCGCCGGACCTTCTTTCGATTCCCCCCTCAACCGTCCCTGGTTATTTCGATCTCGAGTTTTTCCCTGCCAAGAAGAGAATTCATCAGAAAAGAAAAGAGAGGAACACGCAAGCGATTTTGATTGATAGGTTTCGTTTGATTTCATTGATTGACCGTCGCTATGGCTGTTGCTGTGCCGTCGACGCTGCCGATGAAGCTTAGGAAGGTTGAGCCCCGTGGCAAGGCGGCGGCGGCGGGGGTTGCCGGCCGGGCGCGCGTGCTGGTGACGGTCACCGTCCTCGGCAGCGCCGGCCCGCTACGGTTCCTGGTCGACGAGGGCGAGTCCGTCAACGGACTAATCCGCGCCGCCCTCCGCTGCTATGCCCGCGAGGGCCGCATGCCGCTGCTCGGCTCCGACGCTGCCAACTTCCTCCTCTACACCGCCAATGGCAGATCCGACGGTAAGCATGGTTCCATCATTACAGATGGATAATTTACTCTAGTTCTTGGCTAGCACGTCCCTGAATTCCATGTTCGTTCATTGCAGCCCTCAAGGCCGATGAGAGGATCAGCTTCAATGGATGCAGGAGCTTCATGCTCTGGCAGAAGACCGTCGCCGACAACAATGGGTCTGAGCCGGTGGTGGCTACGACGGTTAATTCTTCCCCAGGCAGAAAGGGGATCAGCGGCTGGAAATTTGGCCTAAACAAGATCCTTCTCAACTTCAGCTTCAAGGTGTGAGCCATCGATGAGTTCAAATACAATAAGTGCGCTTGATTCAGCGAATCATTGCTGTAATCGGCTGTCAATTTTACTGCATTGGGAAGTCTGTTGCTTCGTTTTTTTTTTGGTTCAGTTGCTGTTTCATCGTCCTCCACATGTAATGAGATTATAGTTCGAATCATACATTCAGAATTGTCCAATGTGAAACTTATATGCATTGAAGTTACATTTACTCTGGTTTGATGCTTATGCTGTGTTTGTGTGCATCGAATATAAGAATTGCGTATCCTACCCGAAGGAATGAGTTGTTTTGGCTGCACTTCTATAAACCAAGTGGTTATTTGCAAAAAAATTGTGATGATCCAGTGCTAATAATATGCTGCCATTTGTGTTTGATACATCTAATATGCTGCCATCTGTGAGAACTCAGTACTTATTACATGCTGCCATCATCTAGTTCTCGAATCATTCCTTTGGGTAGAATGCCACGCATCACTTACTCATCAGTTCTCAAATCAACAACAAGCAATGACATGTGAATTTCCACACACCTCAATGTTTGGCATACATATTAGGGTTCCTTTGGAATTTTTCCTGTTGTCTTATTCGTTGATTCATAGGATTTTTTCTAACGACTTCTTTACTATATCTAATCCTTTCTTTTTTCAAATCCTTTGTTTTTGCTATGATGCAATCAAACAACTTCATGTAGATTGATATGAGCATGACATTCCAATCGTATGTTTTTTTATTCCTCTGTTTTTAGAATCCTGTGAACCAAAGAGGCCCTTACCTAATATGTTGAAGAACATTTAAAAAAGAAACTGTGAAATCATGTGTTGTGCGTTAAAGGCCGTGGCTTCAGAAAACCACGAATTCTGATAGTGACATGGATCGCCAGAAGTTGACGCAAGCCGGAGTTGTACCAGGCAGACCATACAAATGGATGACAACAACGTGTAGCTGTTGCTGTTGTGGTGTCAGCTGGATAATGGCCCCTTCATAAATGTGGCTTTTTTATTTTAGATCATAAATGTGGCTGTCATCTGTAATGGCCGGCGAATGCATATAAACGGCTTAACACCTTGTTTATGGCATGCCAAAGCGTGGTTTGCTTGTGGGAGCTGATTGTAGAGAATTCGGTAATCCTGATCCAGCTAGTTGAATAAATCGTGTTCGTCGTACCAAACGTTTTCTACTCCCACGAGCGACAAGGGTTTCACTGCCTCCCGCAGATGTTTTTAGTTTGTTTGGCCAGATGTCGGCAACTACTTGAAGATGAAGTAAGGTTCTTCTTGCCTAGCCTCTTCTGTTCATCGGCGGCGGATGTTGTTTTGCTGTGGTTGTCTTTTGAGGCGCCTTTGGCCCACTAGTGAAATCGTTCCTGGGCAGTCTAATCATGGTGTATGGTTAATAGTTGGAAGTTTTTTCCCGAAAAGAGAACTTGTTGAAAGAAAATAGTCACTTTATTGTTCTGAAAAATAATTTTAGATGGTTTTTTAATCGCCGGTAGGTGGTCTACCAATAGGGGTGTAAAAAGTTTTTTATTTTGAATATTTTCTGAACATATTCATATTTTTCAAAAACGCAATCATTTTTAAAATATCTATTTTTTGAATAGAAGGAAGATTTTTTGAAAATTATGAATATTTTTTGCATTCATGAACAGGAATGAGAATATTTCTTGAAATTCTGAACTTTTTGAATTCCTAAAGAATTTTAAAATCGATTTTTTTAAATTCTGAACAATATTTGAAAATCCCAAATAATTTCCGTGAACACAATCATTTTTCAAGTTCCAAATAATCCTTAAAAGTTTTGAGCATTTTTTAAAGAAGGGAACTTCTGAAAAAAATGGAAAATAAAAATAAAAATAAAAAACCGAAGACAACCGGTAAATTAACATCATAGTAAGAAACAAAAACAGAAAATCAAACCCAAACCGGTGCCCAAAACTAGGATTTGTACAACGCTAAACGGATCAACCCAGTTAACTTACTCTAAGCCAGCTCTGTAGGCAGGCCGATAATTTGCCGCACATAGCGGCAAATAGATCTTCCATACATATCACCACCCAATCTAAATTTTTTAGGGGAAGAACCCGAGCTTTACTATGGAGATACAAAGCCTGGGGGCAGCAGGAGCCAAACATGGTGGCTTGGATGTAAAAGTAGAGACATTATAGCAATACTATGAGCATCCACATTGTACACCATTATTTCATGTTTAAACGAAACATCTCGTAACACCTTCAGGAGAGTGCTTAAGCACTTGTGTTTTCTTCACATTGACATGTATGAGGAGTACTCTCATGCAAAGGCTCGGGTTGACCATCGTAGTACTACATGTGTTTCGTTCATCTGTATTGTTTCATCTCCTCTAAAAAACCCAGTAAAGTATGGTTTTAAAAAGTGAATATCCCTTTTTTGATAGATTTAAAAAGGTTATGAAATAAAAAATGTTAACAAGTTTTAAGAAAGTTCATGACTCAAAAAAGTTTTGTCAATTCAAAAAAAGCACATGAATTCCAAATAAGTTTAAGAATTGGAAACAAATCTTGAATTTGAAAATGTTCATTGTTTTGAAAAATTATTATAAATATGAAAAATGTTCACGTTCTCGAATAAGTTTTTGGATTTAAACAAATTCACAAATATTTTTTAGAAAATATTGATTTCAAAAATCTTAAGAATTGGAAAGAATCAAGCATTCAAAAAATGTTCAAGGATCTGAAAAAATATTAACAAACTCGAAAAAGTTCACAAATTTGAAAAATCAACTTGTGAATCTAAAATAAGTTTGTGATATGAAAATATTCACAAATTTAAATTGATGAATTTGAAAATAAAATGAAATAAACCAGAATAGAAAAACGTAAAAAGTAAAAAAGGTGAAACACAAAAACAAAAGAAAAAAGGATAAAAAACAAAAGAAACCAGCCCAACAAACATGTGAGAACCTTCTAGAAGGTTCCCAATACCAATGAATTGGAGACCAACATGGGCTGGCCTGCTTAGGAGGCAGCCGAAAAAGTTCATTTACCTTGCGTACGCGTAGCATAGTATCTAGTGCGTTTTGCTCAAAACAAAAAATATAGCGCGTTAAGCATCAAATAGCATTTGCACTCCTTCAGCTTGCACGTGCCTTCAAAATTACAAATTAAGGAGTATTTTTTGTAAATTTCATTCTCATTTCTTCATGTTGCGACAAGTGGTGCACTCCTATGGTTTTTCTTTTTTTCATATATTCAATTATTCAAAACGTTTTAAATCGTGCGTCCAAATCTTCAACTGTTTTCACCGTTTGATTCCTCCTGTCAAGATCTTCAAAACTAGATACTCCCTCCTTCCATCTATATAGGGCCTAATGCGTTTTTCAAGACCCCCTTTGACTATTGATAAGATTAATAATACATGAGATGTATAATGTGAAAATTATATCATTGGAAGCTCTTTTCACGTACGAATTTAACGGTATGCTTTGTGTAACTTGCATGTCATATATTATTGATCTAACACTCGGTCAAAGTTAGCCTCGAAAAACACATTAGGCCATATATAGATGGAAGGAGGGAGTACCATGTTGATAGATTTTGATAAACCTTTTTTACAAAAAAGTTGAACTGGGAACATGTTTTTTTCTTCTAAAAAGGCACAACGATGCCTCTCGCGAAAGTAAATTTGTGCCTTCATGAGGAGCACATATGACATATGTGCCTCTTGTGGAAGAAAAAAGAAAAGTAAACATGTTTTTTTCCTTATTTCCAAGAGGCACGATCATACCTCTCATGAAAGTAAATCCATGCCTCCAAGAGAAGTAAATCTGTGCCTCTTGCAGAAAACACACACACATTTTTTCCTTTTCCAAAAGGGTGACTATGTCTCTCGCGGAAGCAAATCCGTGCTTCCATGAGAGATAAATTTATGCCTCTCGCAGAAGAAAAAACCCGCATATTTTTCCTTTATCAAAAAGCATGACTGTATCTCTCGTGGAAGCAAATCCCTGCCTCCACTAGAAGTAAATTTGAGCCTCTCGTGAAAGGACGAAAAATGTGTTTTTTCCTTTTCCAAGAGGCACGACTGTGCCTCTCACGGAAAAAAATGTGTGCCTTCATGAGAAGCAAATATGTGCCTCTCGTGGAAGGAAAAACTATGTTTTTTTCCTTTTCCAAGTGTGCTTTTTGTTAAAGCAAATCCGTGCCTCCACGAAAAGTAAATATGTGCCTCTCGTAGAAAAAAATGCGTTTTTTCGCGCATTTTTT